CACACACACAGACAACCTCTCGTCAATATGCGTTTTTCGCATTGCATAGCTGCAAAAAACGCATTATAAACGAGAGCAGAATTCCCAGCATCGTGTATGTCCCTCAACCTGAAAAACCGTGTCCATTTCTTCATTTCCACTGTACCGAAGGCACTGACGCACGGATGCGAGAAGTGTTCAGGGACATATTTGAATAGCGAGCACTGGCTGGGGCTAATAGTTCGATGGGGCTAATAACGTGAACAATCACATTTTCCGTTAGATGAGTGGCGTGTAGGGCATCAGTGCGATCATGCGGAAAGTAGAAACCGATGGGATAGGTATGGTACTGGACGTGTTGACAGCCAATGTGCTTCGTGCACTAGTGAATGGTAGCCGCGAGGAAATAAATGATCACCTTGGCGACCTCCAGAAAATCTGGCTCACATGACCATGAATCTCAGAGATGTACAGCCCAAGTCGATGGGCTGGAGCGGTTACGCTCGGCCCGTGAAATGGCTAGCATGAGATAACTACAGTAAATATCCGAGTAGTCTTGATATTCCTGGTTGGCTGTCATGAAAATTTGACTGACCGCGTATGAAATTAAAGACTGCATTTTGCGAGAAAGGGAAGACTTGAAAGTCTTGTTAGTTGACGTTTATAAATGCTGCTACTAAAGTTACTCTCGCAGTCCTGTCTCTCACAGTGAGTGAACCGTGGTCGAATTTTGGCGTGTGGGAAATAAGACGTCGCAAGATTGCGGGTAAACGGACGTTTGAAAAATTTTGATTTGAATAGCGGTGTACATCGGAATAGTTGGCACGATCATGCAGTTTTATCCAGCGAAAGCTTGCTTTGAAAATGATGCACGGTTTTACTGTTTAATATGTACAGAAATTCTTGGAATGTTCTGATCACCCAAAACTTTTATATTCTTTGCATTGAGTGGTTTCAGCAATCGAAAAAGAGGCGCCAGCTACAGTGTCACAGCTTCCAAAACCGGAGAAATTTGGCACTGGCGTTGGGAAGTATATAAATTTGTCGGCAGTATCATCTGCAACAAAACGATTAATGAATGTTGAGGCAGCACCATCATCCCAGCCCTCAAAAAAGGTTGTAAAACAAAGCCCGTCATTCAGTGATTTTTCCTCATGGTGACAGAGACTCAAATTAAATATGAAGCAACAACTGTTCATATCGATAAATATCTGACTGCTTCAAGTTTAGTGCAGAACGCATGATTACTGCGTGAAGATTAATGCAGAACGCATTGTCCCTAAACGACTTCTCATACTCTTCCTTATCAGCATACCCTAATTATTGGCTTTGACAGTTACCAGTTGTTGTCAGAGGTTTCCATTACATGCATGTGCCGCCTGTCCACAGTTCATATTGACGTTTCATTTTGTAGTTCGACATGTTAAAAACGGGAAAAAAGAGGCGTGTTTCTTTTCAGGCGAATAGTGAAATCTAAATTGACCAATACTTTATTCTGTACCGGCATATGTTCATCGCTGTCCAAAGCATTGTCCAAGTCCTTCAGTATTTCATAACCGTTGGCTGTACCATCACTGCAACTTTCTCGTTCGCCGTCTCTTATACCTGGAAGCAGTCCTGAATAGAATTTTGGTCATAGGAGAAAAGGCTGGAAACGCGAGTGCCTGTGTTATAAACGTTTTTGCTATTTCAGCCTCTCTGCTTGGTATCTTTTCATAAAAAATAGGAGAGTGCCGCCTACAACTAGTGATCGTGCTCCCTCCATTCACGAAAGCTGCATATTTCACTGCCACATATTAAATCCAACTTGAAACCTTTGAATTTATTCTTCGTAAAGGTACTCAGAATTATTCCAAGAGGTAACAGTTATCAGTCAGCAACCATAAGTTGGTGAAAGTCTTGATGATCCATCTGTCGAGGATAAAAAATAATCTAGTGGCGGTTTGACTGCCAGCTTGCATCAGGAAAAGTTATAGCGTAGGGATATACCTTGCTTTTCCCGCGTCATGTCATATATTAATAAACAGCTCTGCGCACCGCTTAACTGATCCAAGCATATGTTTTTGCACGATTTTTCTTTTACTTTCGGAAAATGTCCATTGAACTAGTCTTATATACTGGTCATGGAAAGTTTTTGGTAAATTATTTTTTCGCGTTTTATATTTTCCATGCAAAAAAAGTGCAGAATGACTTTCATTATTATCGTAAATTGGTTAAAAGTGAATTAGTATTGTTTAAAACTAATTTTAAGCACATCGGTGACTGGATCTTTTGACCTGTTGTACGCGCAGCAGACAAGCTTTATTTGTCAGCAATTTATATATAACATTAAATAAACCCACAGAACGACATATGACTGCATCCTAAGGGAATTTACAGATCTGAGAACTAATCAGAGATTGTGATTAAGAAACTCCAGCTTTTTGTGAAGTTGGAACAGTGCCAAGATTACGCAGTTGCAACTTTTACGTATGTGTGCTTAAAGTAAAGGTGCGCATGGAAGTTGATTTTACATTTGTCGGCCTGCATATGAGGAAGAAAAAAATCTCAAAACCTCGTAGTTTATCTGATTGCTGTGTTGAAAACTCCAGATAACTGTCCATACGTACACATACGCACAAGCACAGATAAGATCTCGACAGTATCCGTCTTTGCATAGCACCTATGTTGCAGACGTGCATGAAAATGAAAATTTCGTGCTTTGTTTTGATGAGAGCGGAGACAGGGAATTCTACCGTTTTTTTTTTTTTTTTTTTCGGCTACAGTGTCTAAAGTCATGAGAAACAATAGACAGATATCACCCGTTTTAGCGAATGGTGGTTGTCGCTGGATTACAGCCGCAATTGCTCGTTGTTTTTCCTTGAATGAATCGCGGAATGTGCTGGACCGTTTCGATGAATCCATCAAATCCTGAACGCTGTGCCAATTCGAAAGACTTGCTGGCTCTAGCACGCTTTCGGAGCTTGTCCGTTTCGCTGTTCCACGCCCTTTTGGAATATTCGTTGGCTCCTGCTTATTTAGTTTAAAAATTGTATCGTTTGTTGACTGCAGAAACATCGGTGCGTTTAATATCGCATCTCGTACTTTTTGCGCTTTTTCAACTGGAACACATGCTTGACGTTGTTTCCTTACGTTTTGCAGGTTCAGTCCCAAATATGAATGTGCTGTATTCGGGCGGCTGAATTTCCCAGGGCTCCCGAAGTGCAGTAGAGCTGGATCATTGAGGATTGCATCAGAACGTTTGTTTGGGAAGATTGGTACACCAAGCGAACGATTTTGCATCCTGAATTAAGGCGGTTTTGTTAGGGCAAATAGCAGTTGAATCAAACACTGTTTTGCCAAATAAATTACATTAATATAGCCAGCTTCTTCCAAGCGCGGCCTAAATAGCTACTTTTTTTTAACACAACGAAGAGACAGCCGCTGTGAAGTACGTTTTCCGCTTAATCAGTCAGAAATTTTTATTCACCAGTTAATCAGCAGTTCTTTAGAATATCAGTCTTACGAGATCCAGAAAGGACTAACAAGTGTTAACCGGTGCCCAGTATTTAGCAAAGATGTCTGGGTAGCTGAAGAACAGTGCCGGACTTGAATTACATATGGCACCTGTACTATTAAATTTTGGTGGTGGTTGCCTGAGTGAGCAGTCTTGGTAGTCGTTTCTGAATCTTGTACAGACTGATGCTCTAAAGAATTGCCAGTTAATCGGTGGACAAAAATTCCTAATCGGTGAAAGGGAAAGTGCATTTCACAGCGGCTCTGCCTTCGTTGTATTTCAAAAATAGCAGCGCGCACCAGAATAGCCGGTGCGATCATGCGTTTTTTGCAATTCCGTCCACCGAACGATTGCCTGTCAATGATCGTCATTGCTTTGCACTTTGGTCTGTGCAAAGATAGTTGAAATGTTGAAAAATAGTTAAAATTTTGCGCATGAAAGCAAAATGTGAAACCTCGAAGGGTGAATATCTTCACAATTTCAGTCTTCTAATTTTCTGGCTCTCGAATAATTTTTGAAACAAAACTTTCACATTGGTCGTATGTGAGACCTCGGCATACTCAGGAAGTGAATTAGAGTTTGTGAAACAAACCCCTGCTTAGGCAGGAAACATTCTCGTGAAATTTATAGCCTCCTAACTCTTCTAGCTCCGAAATAATGACTTTTCTCGCCAAAACTTTCATAGGGACGTTAGCGAAGTTGTACAAGGGTGAAGTTGTACGAGGGCAGGGGATGCCACGCTATAATTTCAGCTTTTTAGCTTTTGCAGTTCATGAGACAATTCCCCTGCCAAACTTTCACAGTACCGTATGTTGGTACTCAGGGAATTATGAAGGCGGAATCCAAATTTGCGACGTTCACGCGTTGATGGGGGGCATTGCCCTAAAATTTCAGATTCCCAACTTTCGTGATCCCCGAGATAATTTTCCCCGCCGAAACTTCCACGGAACCGTATGTGATACCAGGGCGCGCGAGAACGCTGGATTTGAATTTGCAAGGCAGGGGATCATTACCCTAAAACCTCGGCTTTCTAGATTTCGTAGCTCCCTAGATAATAATTTGCCCGCCAAAATTTTCACGGGGACGCAGGTGGTACTCGAGAGCGCGGGAATGATCAGTTTGAAGTTGCAAGGCCATGCATGGGCAGGGGGGTCATTACTTTAAAATATCAGCTTCGTAGACTTGGCGATTCCCGAGATAATAATTTGCTAGCCAAAATTTTCGCGAGTTCGTGTTACCCGTGAACAAGAGAAAACTAAATTTAAATCTGGGCCGCACGTGGGCATGGGACATGGCCGCAAAATTTCAGCCTTCTAACTTCCGTGGTTCCTGTGATAACAGTTTTACCCGCTCAAACTTCTACGGGGCCGTACGTGTTACCCGCGAGTACGGGGAGGCTGAATTTAAGTTTGCGGGGTTACACGTGAGTGGGAAACGTTCCCCCAAATTTTCAGCTCCCTAGCTATTGTGGTTTCCGAGTTGAAAGTTGCGGACAAGTTGCTGTGGACACACACACACACACACACATACATACAAAAATACAGATAGCCCCATGACAATGTGCGTTTTGTACTGATGTTACACAGCAAAAAACGCATAAAAACATCTCCAGGTTGCAATTGGGGAAACCTGACTATACTAGTGTGATTTACCAGTTCGAGGGGAGAGCCGGGTTTCCGAATGGATGGGCTTGCAGGTACCATTACGGACAAGTTGTGCCCATCAGTTACTGGTAAAACAAGTGATACCTGCATATTAGATCCTAATATGAATTTGCAACAGATATGTGCAGCTAAAAGCTTCGTATAAGTAAGTGAAAGATGGATAGCCTTCACCCATTTAGAAGACGCCTTTTCCAACTCATACACGGCATGGGTTATGAAAGCGATATTTTCCAGTTTCGCTATGTTGTCAGTTGTGCTTACGGAGGCGTGTATCATTTTTGCTGTGCAAAAAAAAAATTAGCGGTGACCCAACAGGTCAGGTAGCAACGTACAGTTGGTGTCAGTAAGCTGTACCACATCTCCGTTAAAATACTGTTTTTCGAGTCGGGCGTGAGCGGTATTATTGAACGATAAAGACTCAAAGTATAGAAGAATGGAGAATCTGCCAACCGCTCAGCTGGCAAAGAGAAACGCAACTATGAAACAGCTGCCGATGGAAGCATCCAAATAATCGGGCAGTGAATACTGCGGATTGCAAATGAGAGTTGGCGGACCTGGTAAAGCACTTAGCGTTGCGGCTCTGAGCATTCAGCTGCTTGTAACAACAAGAAAGCGGAGGGCGGAAAGAATGAGAATTAAGGTGCATCAAGAAGTAGGGGACGGCTGTGCTGGCGGTAACGTATGACCTTGGGATGATATGAATTTTATAAGTTACATGCCGTTTCATGAGCAGAGGCATGGAGATATATGTTATCTGCAGACGGATGTGGCACAGTGGGATGTAGCACTGTTGTCGCGCACGTTTAAAGTTCGACTTCACCAGTTAAACAGACAGCCCTCCTACGACTCGTTCATTTGTTTCGGTGGTAAACCGGAGCGAGGTGCAGGATCAGCCTGTTTACTTTTAAACAGTGGTCGAAAAAGCAGCTATCAATAGCGTGCAGGCAGTCGGTTGCTGTCGGTAGTTGCTACCGTTCAGACCACTTCCCGAGTATCTTCGCTCTTCCTAAAGAGCGGGTGTGGAGGGAGTACTGATTGCTGATTTGAAACGTTGCTTCGTTGATGCGCTTCTACTCTGAATATTTTTGCACTCTTAGCATACCACCAAAACGAATCATTGAGCACCAGGAGGAAGTCTACTGCCTTAGCTACGACTCCGAGCTGTAAAAAAGTGATGTATGCGAGAGCACCGAAATATAGGCAGTAAAAGCGCAAGTAATTCTGAACTGCATAATTTCTTAAAAAAACTTTTGCATGGAATTTGTTCAGATTTCATGAAAAAGTGCTCACCACATAACAGCTGTACTGCAGGGAACGAAGCGTGAAAGTACCTGATATGGGCTCCCCTCATTGGCGCAGCAGAGCCTGTTTGGCGCAGCTGTACAAATGCTCTTTCGCTGCCTCCGGACGGTTGCAGCGCTAGCGAATAATGATAACAATGCATAATATAGCTGTGCGGCAGCACTGTTCTACGTGTTATTTGCTTTTAGAGCATTAACAGTGGTATCGCTGTAGTTACCGGAGGAGGTGGTGAGGTTCGGCTGGGAAGCATTTCAGGTCCGGGTGGTAATTCGTGCTTACACGACTTCAAGACAAAGATGAATTCAGCTTCGACGTGACTGCTGCGCCGCCGTCGTCTAAACAGAAACATCAGCAAATACTGGAATTCGGTTCGGCTGTAGTTGAGGTACGCCCTTGTTCCTCTGCTAATGCTAGTAAACAGCGAAGGCAAGCAGGCTTTTCTGGCCCTTGGGTTAATAATTTTCGCGCCGAAACCTTTACGTGCCCGCAGGTGAAATTTAGACGCAAGTGAAGGCTTAGTTTAACTTTACGGCGTTGCGGACAAGAAACATTTTTCCAAAATTTCAGCTTCCTATTTTCTGCTCCTTTCAAATAATAACTCCTCGAGAGGAGAGGAACAGGTATTAATTTAGGCGCTAAAATTTTCACGTGCCAGCGCGTGGGTACTGAATTTGAGTTCGCGAGGTCACACGCAGACAGAGGGCTTCCCCCTAAAATTGCAGCTTCCCAATTTTTCAGGTTCTCGAGTTGAAATCTCCGGATAAAATGCACTTGAAACACACACATACAGATACGATCTCGACAACATGCGTTTTGTGAAGCTGTTGCCGCACTAAACTCATAAAAACTCTGTTTTTTTTGCCTCTAAAATCTCATAAAAAGAAAGGCTGATTCCATCTCCACGCATCTAGCCTACCTCTCTTTTTGCTCAGTTCATATTCTGTAGTCGAACTTATTCGCTTTCAGCTTCATCTATCCACCAACTTCACAAATAGCGAAGTCCTTTACCGACGACGGCTTTTTATAGGACAATTTCCACCCACATGGAGTTTTTTTTTTAGTCCAATTTTTTCTCGCTTTTATTCATTGCCTCAGGCTCGCTTTAATTCAGTTTTCTTTGTAGTGCTGTGTTGTCTCCTTCCCTTTATTGAAGTCTCCAATTCTTGACTTAATCTTCTGACCTGTGTCTTTGTTTTCCTTCTCTACCCTAGTCCTACCTGCAAAGCAACATCTGAGCTTCTCTCCGTCCCCGCTATAAATGTACTCTGGAAATAAATAATTCAGCCCCTTCTCCACCTTGGGATATCCGTAGCAAAACCAGCAGCATCCTTCTTCCTCTTCTCCACCTATCGCTCTCTCCCCTCCCCCTCTCGCCTTTCCCGTCTCCACCTCCTCCAAATGTACGTGACCTAGCGGACCGACAAAGGATCTATGCCACGTAGTCATTAAACCCACCTAACCCAGCCCACCCTTCTGCTTCAGACCCTTGCAAACGAAGCCTGCAGCACATCTTCTCCGCTCTTCCCACCAGCCACATCGAATGTCCGCCATTCACCGCAGGGTAAAATTTTCCACCACCAAAAAAAATTTTTTGCGATTTGTGCATGACGTTGGCCAAACCGAGTTTTCGTAACTGCCAAAACAACAAGCGGGGGCCAATCATCCAAACACACATTCATAAGCACATATACAAATGAATAAACAAAATGGCCAACGCACGGGCTGCCCGTGCGAAGATGCGTTTTTTGCAGAGTTCCCCGCAGTTT